ATGTACGTATGAGTATATAAAAGCAATTCTATACTATTGCTTTTCAAATAATTCAAGAGTTACTCTTGGCTACAATGAAAAGAAGTAGTGGCATTACTGGCTATGGTTTTGAAATAAAATTAGTTCTAAATTTGCCAGTTCTCAAGTACCATCATATGAAGCCTAAACTCAACGTGGTCTATCAACAGCATTCTCCATGAACACTTGGAAATTGTCATCATTTCTTACTCCATCTTTTGAAAATAAAGTGTAATAAATGCATTTAAAAAGGATAAACTGAATAGTACAGAAGGACTCGAAACCAAAACAGGGAACAGAATATACATTACATAAAGAAACAGCCTTTACTGAGGAAACTATAACCTTCTGTGACTATTTAGTAGAAATACCATGAGAAGAAATGGCTTATAATGAAACTTGCTAATATTCTGACTATGAAAAATTAACTTAATTTTAACTCATGGAATAGAAATGCCATTCACAGTATGCAGTATTCTAATGGTATTTTCTAGAACCTAATTAATACCTCCATAAGACTTGTAGAAATATATTTAAAAGGTCAATTTTGTTTGGGATGCTAGTATTTTCAAATCATGCATTGAAAACACTAGATGTCTGTATTGTACAGATGTTGGGGGTTTTCCCAAATACTCCCTTCTTTCTGCTAGCATTTACTAATCTTTGCTTTCCTGCTTGTAAATGATGAGAGATATTTGGGGAGAGCAGTGTAGCTCCCTTCCAAAGTAGGTGTCTTCAGACAGATAAATTAACATCTCTAGCATGGCTGTTCAGTATGAGATAAATGCATTTTAAATTAAATATACACTATTGTGAGTTCTGCTAGAAATAAGTGGTTCACAACCCTGGGTATGAGCCAGAACAGATGTGATCATCTGCTTCTGAGTCACCTGGGACAGTTCCTGCCTGATTTTATGTGGCCCAGAACATCAATGTGAATCACAGGATTGTTAAGGTTGGCAAAGACCTTTGAGGTCATCAAGTCTGCCTGCTAACCCAGCACCTCCATGTTCAGCACTGAACCATGTACTTAAGTGCCATATGCACACGTTTTTTGAATGCTTCCAGGAATGGTGACTCCACCACATCATGGGTTGCCTGTGTCAATGCCTGACCACCTTTTCAGTAAGGAGTTTTTCCTAAAATATGGTCTTACACAAGATGTGGCAGTGTTTTGCTTGGGGACTGTGGGAAAGTACTGCTTATATGTTTATATAGGGTCACAGTGAACAAGTGACTGAACTTAATGTTAAGTTGAAGTCAATGTTAAGCTTGTGTGTGAGCTAATTTCTCTTGTGACTTCATCTTCTGTGATGAAAGGCTCATGTTCTGTCATCCAGTGGTCAGTCATGCACTGTAATGTCAGATGTTTCTTTAGGCTAAAGAAAAGGAGCATGAGAAGAGATCTTTCTAGGAGGGTGGAGTGATGTGGGAGGTGGTCTCTTCTCCCAAATAACAATTGATAGAAGAGGAAATGCTATCTAGTTGTACCAGGGAAGGTCTAGATTGGAAAAATTTCTTAACAAATTGTGTAGTAAGCATTAGAACAGGCTGCCTGGGGAAGTCACCATCCTTGGAGATATTTAAATGACATGTAGATGTAGCAGTTAGGGACATGGTTTAGTGTTGGTTTCTTGAGGTTGGGATTGAAGGCACTTGAGATGGTATTTCATGTTTGGACTCAGGAGTTTATTATTTCTTATCTGTGTTACAGTCTCACTACCATGAGTTCAGCAGCTTTTTCATTAGCAAAATGGCCAACTAATTCTTGTTACAAGGTCTTTTGAAACTAAACTCTCCAATTAAGAAAGGACAACTAGATTATTTTCCCTTTTCACCCGATAACTGATCCCTCAAAGCCTGTAATGCATTCTTTTCTGTTCAGTCACAAAACATCTCCCAAACCCATGAAGCAGAAGAAAGAAGGTAAAGTAGAACAACCTGCCTCTGCCGTAAAACCTCCATCTTGCTTCATATTTATTTCTATATTCTAAAATCCCAAACTCTTAAGTTTTCCACCCTGTGATATTACACAGTTCTAACCAAGGAATCTCAGTGCTATTAATCAATTTCAGAAGCCTGTTCCACAAACTCAGGTAAAATGCAGTGCTCTCTTGTGGGTCTGTGCCTTTAAGCACAGAAAGTTTAAAATTTGCAGCATCCAGGATTCCAAGTTTAGTGGTGGCCTTGGCAGTGCTGGGTTAGTGGTTGGACCGAGAGATCTTAGGTCTTTTCCAGTCTTAATGATTCCATGAATGTGGGATTTTATGCTGCTCTGAGCCCTCTAAAGGAGTCCTGCTGCCGAGGTGGGGATCGCACGCAGGGTGTGATGAGAGGTGAGGTGCAGGCAGAGCCAGTGTTCCCAAATGTGCAGTTCACCTGTGCACTTCCACTCTAAAGCAGGGCAAGGTGCATGGATTTGGCCAAGTGCCAGGCTCTAATGACAAAAGGGGAATAGCAGACTGACAGCAGAGACTATTTGAAAGAAACTGGCTAATGGACCTCCAGCATTATCCAAGATAGACCAAGAAAACTATATTTTCTAACTACAATTAGAGGATCCTTCTCACACACAGCGATGCTGTTAGTGTGGAAGTGATTTTTGATAATCGAGGTCTGCCATTTAATCTGATACTTTCAGATGCATTGCTTCTATCTGTTTTCAAATCAGTGCATTTCTGAAAAGGATACTGTTTCATTATTTTATTTACACTGTAAGTATTAGAAGGAGAAAAAATGGAATTTCATTAAATAATTAAATATAGAATTGAAACTAATGCAGTGAAAGTAATTTTAAAACTTTGTTGGTATAAACAAAGCAAGCAAACAAAAAAACCCCAGTGTCATGATACTGCTTTTATGTGGCTAAAACAAGAAGAGGATTTTGCATGCTCTGTAATATTACAGGTGCTTTATCTGTAAAGAATTGCATCTAAGATGAAAAAAATGAGAAAAACAGTGTTGTAGACTGATTATCCTGTCAAATGTGTATTGTGCACTGTTAGACCATCTTGTTTATTTTATGTAAGCACATAATTTTTTGGGAAACCTTTCCAGAAGAGTAGGATTTTTGGGGGGAAACCTTTCCAGAAGAGTTGAATTTTAACTTTCTCACATCCAGGTTGTGCATACTGTTGCAAAGTCTACAATCTGTATGATAACCAAAAGAGCAGATGTATGTTACTATAGAATTATTTTATCTAATAGCTTTTAAAAGATTTCCAGCAGTTTTGTAAAGTCAGTAAATCATTCAAGAAGCTGAAGAAATGAATCTTTTATTGGCTTTTCAACTATATGTTACATGTTCTTTGTGGACGACAGTCTTTTTCTTAAGGAGCTGTGATATTTATTGGACACTAGAGTTTTACTTGACAACATAAAAATAAACTGTCTGGTATTTCTCATCTCTTTATTGAAGGGCAACCTACAACCATTGCTTTTTGGTTTTTCTTCAGCATAAATAAAAGGGGTAGCTTTGTGTACCGAGGCAGTGTTTATTTACTGAGAGCTCACTTCAGAATAAAAAAGGAGTGCCCACTCTGGCCATCCACAGATGTGTCATCTTAGGGTGAAAACCAACTCTGAGCATGAAGTGTTTGTACAACATTAATGAGTATGGAGCTTAGGCTCTTCTGTGCTGGTGTTAAGGAGTTTAGCCTTGCTCTGCAGTGAAAGACCTTGATCTCCATTTGTTCATCTGTGCTCTGTTTTTTTTCCCAAGATGTCCATCCATTGGTTTAAGATAATCTTCTAGAAATTCTTTGATTGATACCTTTTATATTTAAAATTCTCAAACCCAGGTTTTATTCCAATGTTTTTAAAAGAATTTGGGAGTTTTAATACATCGAGTTGTTCTCACACTTTGAATTTTCTATGTGTTGTTATTAGGTACTGTACTGTTTCTTGGACAACTCAGTCCTGTACAGAAAAGCTTGCAGCTAGACCAAAGTTGGTATTTTTAGGCCCTTGTAATGATTCACAGTAGCTGAAATTCAAAGAATGACAAGTATTAACTACCGATCAAAGTATTATATGCCCCAAAGTATTGAGTGCATAGATTCAGTTGGCAATGGATGACTGAATATGGTCCTCTCCAAGTCTTATAGTCTAGTTTGCCAAGGCATGAGTGGCTTAGGGAATGTTTGTAAAATCTGTTTTTCATTAACAGTTGTGAACTGTTCTTCATTATTAATTCATCCTCAGCTTTTGCTTAATGCATACAAAATATTATGATGGTGTTAGTTATATTTTTAAAAAAATCCATAAGAAAAAGACCCAATGCACTCTGAAGAATTTTTTTTCCAAGTGTTTTCACTGAGTTATATCAAGTTCATTTTATACTTCCTCTAACATTAAATCTCATGTACAATTGGAATAGGAATTGATTAAGAACAACTTCCTTCCCTTGAATATTTTGCTGAGCACGTATTAGTATCAAAGTGGGTTATTAGAGCCTGAAGCTCAGATCTTAATCAGGAATTCTTCTAAGTAGTCAGTTCTGGATGGAATATTTTGTTCTGCTTGATAATACATATTTTTACTCAGCTTTCTTGCACTTGTATCAGCACTTTCTGAATGGACAGGGACATGGGGATGTTTGGATCTTTTTCTTCTCCTGGAGATCAAGTGAGGTGAGAATCTAATCTGTTAGGAGAATCTAACTGTATAATTACTGTTAAGAGGTTGTCAGTGTGCTTGATAATGATAAAGTGTAGAGGACTTAATCCCAATTTAGCATTAATTTACAGATGAAGCTTAAGAAGATCTAGAAGTTCCTGTACGAAGCAATGAAAACCTTTGCTCTCTGATAATTGATGCTAAAAATGAATAAAAATGACACAAAACTTAAGGAAGTTATTTTGCACTGCTGGGCACAGGGGATTATTTTTATAGTTGAAGAATATGTACCTATGAGTAGCATTTGAGTTTCCCCAGACTTGCGTCTGTGACAGCCAGTTCTTTTTTTTTTCCCTGTGTTTCAGCCCCCAAGGACAATGAGGAGCGAGTGTTCCGGGAGCGGATGCGCCCCAGGAAGCGCCAGGGTGCCGTGCGGCGCAGGGTGCACCAGGTTAATGGACACAAGTTCATGGCCACCTACCTTAGACAGCCAACATACTGCTCGCACTGCAGAGACTTCATATGGTACGGAGCAACTCTGGCTTTGCTTCCTTTGCAAATTGAGTCGGGGTGTTAGCATACCTGACTGTTTCACTGACATTATTTTGACATTAACCTGTCAACAGATGATAAGAGAATGCTGTTAAACCTCCATCGCAAATATTAGAATGGGTTGTATTTGGTGTTCTTCTCCTTTGAGCCACAGAGTTCCATATTTCTAATGTGCACTAAATTCTATGTAGACAGCCAGTTTAGTATTATGCAAGACCTAAGTGTATATTTAGACTTAATATTAGACTTTTACATTTTGTCATAGTGACAGAATTCTTTGTTACATGATTGAGAATTACCGTCTTTCTTCTAAGAAATGCAAAGCTCCTTTACATCCTACTGAAGTTCATGGAATATAGGTATATTATATGTCTAATGACACACATTTTGGTACTTAGTGTACAGGGTCTTTATTATTACAATGTACACCAAGAACTCCCTTTTAGAAATTATTTACATTATTTTGAGTATTTTCAGTTTTCAGGGAGAAGTGGTGGAGGCATTCAGTTTTTAGTTGTTTTTCAGTCACTCCTGATGTGACCTAGAGATACTGATTTACACATAAGATCTGATGTGACTGACAGCAAATATTTTTTAGGAGTGTGTAATGAATCGGTCTTTCTTAATGTAAAATGATGTGAAATATACATGAACTCAACTGCATTTCTCTAAAAAGTGCATGAGGGTTATGCTTTATGTTGGCTAAGGTGATTTCAAGAAATATTGACAGATGCAATCTGTCTATTTAGAGGTCTGCTTGGTTATGATTTACCATTTTGTCCCCTTTCCGTCCACCCTTTGGCTTTGTCTGTTCCACTGTTGTAAATCTGTCTGTACTTCTGACTGCCTTCATGGTCTCTAATCCTTCCTGTTACCTCTCAGCACCTGAAATGTTCCTACTTCAAACAGATCTCAGTCTAGGCATACAATTATCAGATGATTGGTTATGAAAAGCTTTTCTTTAAACATGTGCACATTCAGTAAAGGATGTTTTAAAATGTTTAAAATATTTCTTCTTCATTTTCTAAAACCCTTTATTGTTTTTCAGGGGTGTAATAGGAAAACAGGGATATCAATGTCAAGGTAAGAGAAATTCAACATAAGGACAGTTTAAATATATTTATTATGTTATATAAATAATAAGATATTTTTATCAAGCATTATATCTGTATCATGCTAAGAATTTAGCGCATGATGATCAGAATAAGTTTGTCTCAACAAGTATCTAATCTTTGCACTAAGTCACAGTAATTTTTTTCAAATCTTAAGCATCATATATGAAGTAGGAGCTCAGCTAACAGCCATGAACTTCAGATCCCAGATATATCTTCATGTGTATTCATCTAGGGAACCATATCTGTGGATCTTGGCTTCTTTTTTTTTCAAGTCTTGCTTTTTAAAATTGAGAGCTCTTTATTCTGCTTAAGATTCTGTGTCTAAAAATTCCAGGTAATTGCAAAGACTGTAGTTTAAATAGATGAGATAATTATAGAGGTCATCATTAGAGAAGGTTATAGTGAAGACTACAGAAGTGCTTCATTTTCATCTCCCATTTTTCAACTCAATTTCTTGTACTCCTACTTCTTTATGCAATCGCTTCTTGGAATGATGTGTTAGTACTTAATTCTCATCTAACAATTAGAAACCATCAAGTTAGTGATGGTTTTTCAGTTACAAAAGACTGGATGAAATCTCATTGTAAATAAGTAAATGCCATCTTTTAATAGAGCTTTACATGTTATAATAAGAATTACTGTATCAAATCTCATAGTAAATAAGTAAATGCCATTTTTATAGAGCTGTAATAACAATTACTGTATTAACAGACAGAGGTATCTGGAGAAGTACCTTGACTTCTGATCTTTTGTTTTTCTTACAACAACAACCAATACTGGAGAAAGTGAAATTCATTACTTCACTTATGAGGGTTTTTACTTTGTTTAATGACCTTGAATTTTACAGTATGATAGACCTAGTAATTGTTTTTCTTATCTGTCATATCTGCAAACATTATTCATTGATTAAGTAATCAGGATGTATATTGGCAAAACATTTTTGCCTCCTGAAACCTTTTACTGCTATAAATTTAGGTTAATGTGTTACTGAAAGAATATTTGCCTTCTTTTTTTCTATTATTTTCATTTTTACAATGAGTTATCTTCATATCTGTTTTCCTTTGAAAGCTCTTTAAACAGGAAGTGTTTTTGCTGTTGTGTCTCATGTAATGTGGAGATCATGGACTTCAGATAAACAAATCACATATATAAAAATCGAGGAAAATTGTGGTTAACATTTCAGAAGGTAATTTGTCGTTTTACAGATGAGATGTTTGGCAGATGTGCTTTAGTTATCTTAAAATTCTTTGGTCTTTTGAAAGTCCATTATCTTCTGTTTTTATAAACCAACTTATTTAATAGGACACACCAGATCACCACCAGTCACTTGCACACTTTCAAGTCCCAGTGATTCTAGTCTTCTGAGATCAGGCTTTAAAATTCATAAAATCTCATACTTTTATGTTTTTGTCGTTCTAGTTTGCACTTGTGTAGTTCACAAGAGATGCCATGAACTCATAATAACGAAGTGTGCTGGCTTAAAAAAACAGGAAACTCATGATGAGGTAAATGTTTATAAATTACTTTTTTTGTATAAAATACAGTCTTTGATCTGTTCAAAATAGTATCATCTCTGTTTAATCAATAGACACTACAGATTTTTTTGTGCCCTTCTGGTCATATTGTGGTGTAGCATTTACTTTGGAATGCTAGATTGCTATCACAGTTTTATTTACATGGGAATTATCATGCAGAAAATTATTTCTAATTGGTTTATTTTCTTGTAACACCTGAGCTTAAAGTTTCAGAGAGCTATTTCTACTCCTTTTCACTTTTAACATTCTCCCTCCATTTCTGAGTTGATACAATTCTTGTCAGTTTAATTCAGAAGAAGCAGGCTGGGATCTCTCATTCCCCTGGCTGCATTTTGTGTGGCTGAGCCATCAGCAGCTGATAAGAGAGCTGGGATACTTAGGTGGGTATCTGACACCAACATAGACAACTGACCAGAATTTGCTTGCCAAAGTCTCACCTCAACAAAAGCTACATCCAAACTGTCAAAATGTAGTAATGTTTTGGGTTTTTTTTAAATAGTTCGAGCCCTATAGTATAAACAGTGAATGCTTTTTCTTACACAGAAGTTTTTGGTTTGTACTTCAATAGAAAAGTAAATGTATGCTTACTCTCTGTTGTTTTGTGCAACAGCAAGGGCCTGTTGTCTTTCACCACAGGCTTAGGTGAGGTGGTTTTGTGTGATCATAGTTCCTTGGCCACAGAAAAAAAACTACATTTCATAATTTTATTTGTTAAAAACCTACATTCATAGGATTGAAAAAGCCTACCTTTAAGTTATGTATTGGAGTTGTGTGTAACAGGGCAGTTGTAATCTATCCTTTAGATTTCAGCATGAATTTGACTGAGGCACTCATTATCTCATTTTTTCTGTGCAAGTTACTAGCATTTTCCTTACTGGGACCATTCTCCAATATCTGGTCCACAACCAGTATTTAACATCCAAAATGTGATCACATGCATACAATTGTGATAAAGCACTGTGTTGGGCTAGTGTTGGTTTTGTGTAGTACTCACAGGAATATACAAAATCTTGTGCAGGTTTATATTCCCAGGCTCCAGACTGGTGGGGCTTGCATACTTTGCTGATAGTCTCATTGTTTAGAAGGGGTACTAGATCACTGGAGAAAAGCCAGCGGTAATAGAAAGGGGAAGGAAAAACATAAAAATAAATCTCCTGCAGTGCAATGGCCACTCTGAGAACTTACCACTGACATCCTTTAATTAGTAAGTAATCATACCTTGGAATTCCTGAACACAACATTATCATTGCCATTTTCATAATCCAAAGAAGAGTGGGATATGAAAAGGTAAAGCGTTTATGATATATTTCTTTTTCTAGTCCTGTATTAGTTTGGCCTCGTGTTCCTAAAACAATTGGGAGTGACTTCCTTGCCTTCCACATTGAGATCTTTCCTGATAGCTATGTATTTGTTGTTCCCAAAAGTACTAGGAAGTAGACTTAAGTCTTTATCTCTTGGACAACAGCAGCCCTACCCCCTCTTTTCCCCAGATAAAGTAGTGAAAATAATTCTGGAGTTGGAGTGTATCTAATGCAATGGTCATCATTGAGCACTGATCTATTTAATCTCTTTTGAATTCTGTGTGGCTTCAAAATGCAACAGGGCCTCAGCATATACCAATTGTAAATAAATTAATTAAAATGAAATATGCTGTACTGTCCTTTTTCAGCAAGTGGGATCCCAGCGTTTCAGTGTCAACATGCCTCACAAGTTCAGCATTCACAATTACAAAGTGCCCACCTTCTGTGACCACTGTGGTTCATTGCTCTGGGGTCTTTTGAGACAAGGTTTACAATGCAAAGGTAAGGCACCACTTCAGAGCTTTTCTTTTTCTTTGTGAGTTGACTTGTAGACTTGGAAAGACTTCAAGTCACTATATCAGCAGGTACAGAAATAAACAGAAGATAAGTAGTGGAGCAGTGTAAGGATTTCCATCATGGTTAGAACACTGTCCTTACCCTGTTGGCAGCACCAGCCTGTAACAGATGCAGAAGTCAGGCATTAAGGAATGCATTTTGCACTCACTCCTGTATAGGTTTATTGCCACACAGGATAATAGAAGTTAACAGAAAATTATGAGCAGGACAATTTACATACCTTCAGTTTATATGCCTTTGGTGTTTTCAGGTTTGTTAAACTTTTTAAACATCAATATTCCAGCTACTTTTCCCTTTAATACTATTTTCAAAAATTGCTGCTTTGTATTGGTTAGAGTAGAACCAGTCCTGTGTGCCCATGGCCAGAATGAGGTATTCTGATACCCAGCTAAATCATCCTTTTCGATGGTCTGCTTAGCTCCTCTAGTCCAGAAAAGAAAATATTGAGTATGTTCTGCCACTTAAGGACTATATACTCCGTACAGGATCTATAAGTGAAAATATGGCTGGAAAGTACACTTGTTTCATTTTAGTTGTCCAAAATGTTCCATATCTCATTGTTTCAAGCAGATCTGTGTAATGGGTGACAAAAGAATATGGGTGAGAAAAGAGTATGAACAATTGTAAAGCAAAGTAATATTTTAGAAATAGTTAATAAAATGCTTCCATTTGTAGGTGGAAGGAAATTATGTAATGAAGGAAATTATTATCATGTTCTTAGGAAGTAGTGCCTAGTGGAATGATAAGCATTTTCATTTTGTTATGCTTTAGGAATGAATAGGTCTATCTTCATAAATACAAAAATCATGTTGTGTACACTTCTCAACAGCAGAAACATGGGGCTACACATATAAATACATTATATATAAAAATACACATCCTTTGCAGTATTTAGGATGACACGTAAGTATAGATAAAGGTCAGACCTGATGTTTCACATCACAAGTTTGCTGAGCAGCAAGGGAAAGAAGAAATTTCTTTCACAGCCAAGTTATACACAGTGAGGCTTCTGAAGTTCAAACCTTCCCTTGGTTCAGTGAGGAAATGTTAGGCTCTAAATGCTATTACTTTGCAGCTGTTGAAGATTTTACTCAAATGCTGTCTTAATTATGGTGGAGATGCATTCAGTAAAGATTTTCAATTGAATCTGGTATTTTTTACTCTTTGATTTTTTTTTTTTTTTTTTTTTTTATTTTTTTTTTTTTTTTTTTTTTTTTTTTTTTTACCAGAGCTATAGTATCTCTCTACCTAATCTGGGCATACATGAGTTCCCTTTCATATTCTAATTCAAGTACCATACTGTTCATTTGGTCTTAACTGCTATTTCTCATACTGTGTAGCAGATGCATAGAAACAATAGTACAGAGACTCTGTTGCTTTCTCCATGTTCATGAAATTATTGCCTATAAAAATACACTATGCAGTGTTCTCTGCGTGAAATCTAGAACTTGCCTGAACTGAAAAGGTCATTTTCTGTGCTTGGTTTTCTCTCTTTAACAAGTGCTGAGTGACTCCCTTCTTCAGAGATGTACTTCCTTGTCCTGTATAGTTATTAACACAATGAGGAGCCTATAACAGAGATTTGTTCTTCTTCAAATTTTTTTTCACTGGTTATTCCTGTGCATCTTTTTACAAAATATATTCATGAAGTTGGGCTGAAGAAAGTTGTCCTGCTATTTCAAGCAGCTTGGCTCCTCAGTGTCCACTTTTATGGATCCTAGCTCAAACATTTTACTTACTGCCAAGGTTTTGTCACTTAATATACATTCACTGAAAAAAACATGTTTAGCTATTTCTTTTTGCTCTTCTTGTGAGCTGAAACATAATTTAAAAGGAAAGTCACCAGCTTTCTGAAGAGCATGGTTATGGTCAGATTCAGTGCCTGGGTATAGTCTCAGAGGCAAATGTGTTTTTTTTCTTTAGGGACTGTGCAACGAAAGCTTTGTTGATGAAAAATATAATGAAATGTAACTTTATAAATGCATATTTTTATAATTTCCTTTTCTCTAAAAAATAGAGACATTTGAACAATTGAATATTTATTAATCTAGGATTTAATCACACTTGTAGCTGTGTTCTTTTTATGCCTTGATCCACAAGAGGGCACTGAAGTATCAGATAAAATGTCATCTGCTCCTAACAAATCCACACTTCACGAGTTTTAATGGAGCTATGTTCTTGCCTCTGCCCCATAATTTGCAAGCAAAGTAACCATTTTTTTCTCCTCATAATAATATAATTATTTCAGGAGATTTAGTGGAAAGAGCTTAGTAACACAATTGCCATCTAAATAAAGTAGGTGTTTAACCATTAATTTTTATTAAAACTTAAAGTGCTGTCAAGTTTTATGGCTGCCTACATTACAAGCTAATCTACTTCAGTAAAATAGTGTAAGAAGCAATAAATGCATAAGGATTTAATATTGTTCTTCCCATAGTGGACAGTTAAAATCCAAGATCTGAAGGACTTTTCTTCTAATTCAAATTAATTTAAGAGTTACAGGATGATTCAATAGTTTCATTTATTCTTTTGTCTGTCCTGGGCACTGTATGAAAATACAACTCTACATTGTCATCTAGAAGAATAAAAATCAGGTTAATAACTTTATATTAGCATTGAAGCATATTACCTTCAAATCCAGCTAAGTGTTTTCCTACTGAGATTGTATTTATTTGAGGAAGTTATTGATAGGTCCAATAAGATCTGATTTAGGTAAGGCAAATGCATGCCAAGACAGTATTTAGTTTGTTTACTGTATTACTTTGTATTTCATTGCAGTTTGCAAGATGAATGTACATCGACGCTGTGAAACAAATGTGGCACCAAACTGTGGAGTGGATGCTAGAGGCATAGCTAAAGTTCTTGCAGATCTTGGAGTCACTCCAGATAAGATCACTAATAGTGGGCAAAGGAGGAAAAAGGTAATTTTACTATCTATTGCCACATTAAAAAAAATCAGAGAAGTATGACAGTATTGTAACTTTTTTAGTTGAAATTCAATCCTACTCAACTTGCACAGTAATTTTTTTATATGTCAGTACAGACCTAAGACTTCAAGTTTTGTTTCGTAAGTGTAAATCATCTATTCTGAACTTTGATATGGAATTTATTTTGACCTGGTACAACATTGCAGATCTAGAGTCTATAACTTCTGGAAGCATTTTGAGGAAGGAATTTGACAGACAGACAATGTCTGGCAACAGTTAAAAACATAAATGCCTGTTATGACTCAGAATTGGCATTGAGTAATTGACTGATTGATTGGTAGACAGTACTACTCCCTCCATAGTGTTGTAAATGTTGACAAACAAGCAATGTGCTGATTCTCATGAAGATGAGATGTTTGCCAAATGACCATTCTGGAGTTATCATGCCTTCTATAGGAATAATCAGGCTGTTCTAGAAATAAAAAGCATAGGTCACCCCAAGTACATCCAAAACCAATGGACTTAGCTGAGTGATGATCTGTATCCTGAATGAGAATGGGACCACACTTTGTATCTCTGTTTGCATGGTTGTCACAACAGACCCATTGGTCTCACAGTAAGAGGCAATTTGAGCTATAATTTCTTTAGACATTGACAGTTGCTTCTGTTCATTTTCCTGCTTGTTGCACACTGGGATCCCCTGGACACTGTTTTAAAATGTTACAGAAATGTAGGAAACTCGAGGATGAATAGATCTGACAATCCTGGAAAAAGGTGTTGTCATGTTGCTACTGCATGAGGTAGTTTGCAGTGCTTGCTGATACATGTTGTAGTTAAATGTATTTACTGGATGAATTTACAGACTCACAGTGGCTTCTCAAAACTTTCCCACTCACTGGGTACATACACTACATTTATTTTGTCTTAAGAACCTGTTTTTCTTTCAGTTGCCTGTGTTTTCTCTCTTTGTATTATGGCTTCCATTTCATGTGATGCCATCTACTGCATGGCTGAGGTTCTGCCAGTGAGAATCCATAGGGGTAGAAGATCTTCACTTTCCTTCATACTTTTATTTTGAACTAAAGTTGTTGAATTAAATTTCCTCATGGCAGAAGAAGATCACCCCTTTTGGAATTGTTCTTAGCTAATTGCAGGTGCAGAGACTCAAGCACCAGTTCCGGGATGCGCATCATCAGAAGAAGATAGATCGAAGTCAGCACCAACATCTCCATGTGATCAAGGTCAAACAAATATTTTTATTTTCTATCTAACCTATTTTGTCATACATTTTCCTGGAGTAAAAAAAAAATCTATGATCATAAGCCTCTATAAAAACAAATTAATAAAGCAGTTACCACCAGAAATTGAAGCATTTAAAGTTATGAACTGTAAAATATTTTTAAAAAAGGGCTGCTTCTCATTTAATTTAAATCTGTAAAATTAGATTGCTTTTAAAGGGAAAATTATAAAACAGTCTTAAGATATGTTTAAGTCTGGGTCCTTGTCAACAAAATATATTTATGGAAGTAGTTTATATATTTTGTTGTAAGACTGGAAAATGTTTTAAATAGTAACACAGAACTTGAGAGAGCCTTTATTTACCTGAAAACCCATCTGTTAATAAGTTTTTGAGATAAAATTGACTCCTTGTAATTCCATGTTGAACATTTGTAATAATAAAAACTTCCATCCAGACATGCTCTGCTAGCATGTCCATGTGGTCTCCAGAGGCTTCTTAAAACCATGTTTCCATTCAACAATTTATTTTATGCATAGATTTGGACACAGGCATTTTAATATTCACTGATATGACCTGATTTCATTGAGCTGAGTAGCTGATTGACAGAATGTGTATGTCAGCAGCATTTCTTGAGTTTGATAGAATTGTTCTTAAAAATTAGAAATCTGTGATCTCTGATTACAGAACTGATTAAAATTTGTCAACCTTTTGGTTTCGCAAAACATTTTTTTCATAAAATCATGATTTTTAAAAATATCTGCTATTTTGTTTAAAATAAGAACCAAGAATTTGTTTAAATTCTCTCTTTAGTTTGAACTTTATGGCTGTGCAGTAAAGTTGTTGCTTCCAAGGCCATCAGGCCGAAGTACCATGCAGAGCTCAGGACAGACCCTGAGGACTGTTAGTCACCAAGACTCTCTGTATTTAATACTGAGAAACCTTCAGAACCATTTAGCAGATCTACACAATTGCTGCTTGAAGCAGCACTAGGAAGTGGTCAAACACTTTATTGGCAGGCATCTGATAACAGCTGGAGCTGAATAAGATGCTCCATTCATGTTGACTTCAAGGACTGGGACGCCCAACTGTCCTTTGAACCTTTGGAGACGCAGCTCTAAAATACTTAAGCAGGAAGATGAGTAAGTGCTACAGGAAGATAGGGATATTCAAAACAAAGTACTTCTCTGTGGTACAGGAACACCCAAAGTCACTAGAACAACTATTTGGCTACTATTCTAACTTATCTTTCAAGTTTTGGATATGTCATTTTCTTAAGTTCATTTTAAAAGGCCACCCTTCCTGTTAGAGAAGGGGTTTGGCTGATTACTGTAAGGTGGAGAAGCAGTTTGCTAAATATGTACTCTTAAGCACAGAATGCTCTTAAACACAGCATTCAGAGATGATGAATGTCCCTTCCCACACTGATACAGACTATCAGGCTGGTTTTCTGACAGTTGGTCAAAACTAACTTTTCCTCACATTTCCACAGAAATCAAAGAGCTGGAAAACAACATTAGGAAAGCATTATCTTTTGACAATCGGGGAGAGGAGCACAGAGCAACAGCTACAACATCAGCAGACAACCAGCTTAACAAACCTGGGGAGAATGGTGAGAATGGGGAGGTCAAACAGGCCCAGAGCAAGCGAATAGGTCTTGAAGAGTTCAACTTCATCAAAGTTTTAGGAAAAGGCAGCTTTGGAAAGGTGGGTAGCTTTCCCCACCCCCCCACCCCCCCACCCCCCTTCTTTTTTTCTTTTTTCTTTTTTTTAAGCTATTGCTCAGGGATGGTTTTGACTACACTGATTTGGAAGTGTTCATATTGACATTCAATTCAAGTGCTTCCAGCTTAGGGGGTTTTCTTTTACCCAACTAATCAGAAGTATCAGTCTCCTTGTGAGCTGGCCTTGTCTGTACTTTAGCTCACTTTGTTCACTCCGGTTAAGCCATTTGAAACAAAATGTCAGTGCTTCATTATTTTGGGATACGGCTGATGAAGACACACATAGTTACATACATATTGTTCAACAAAATTGCTTGTGGTCAAGCGGGAAAAATCAGGTCAGATATAATGTTGTGGGGTTAATTTACTTTCTTGGTAATTCCCAGTTCAAGTTTACTTATTTCACAGAACATTTTATGTACTTAGTTTTCCTCAGAGGGTGTGTTCAGTGCTGGAGGAAGAGAACTGAAGTATTTCCACTCAGATATGACAGGGCTTAGCTGCCCAAAATACAGCGTAAGCAGCAGAGATGTAACTCACCAGAGTTCCCCTAATAGGGAGTTGGTGAGGGTGGAAGGGGCATTGCTGTGTTTATAGGCCTTATAGGTTTTCTTTCCACACTGTTGTGCACCATGTAATCAAAGATGTGCACTGAAATATGAATCTGATTCAGAAATACACTCTTTCTTCTTTGATGTTACGGGAACTTCACATGCAGGGGAACATGCTTTTGTGTCCCTGTTTTCTAATCCTTTCTCTGAAGATTATCCTGGCTCCAAGCCAGAACTGACCTTAAACAGAATATAGGGCCTGAACCTTAAACAATAGTAGTAGTTAAAATCAACAACTTGAAAGGAGCTGGAATGGTAACTTGGGATTGTATACAAAGTCCATCACACTTAAATCTCACTACCAGAAGTGGGAGATAAAAGTGGTAAATAAATTTCTGTTTTATATCAACTTCCTTCCTTGTTTAGTTTTTGAGACCTCATTAATAGGTACTCATTATGATACTTAACTAACAAACAGAACAGATACTCTCTGTTTCAAATTTAAAGAATACTAGAGGTATAAGCTTCTAAAATTACAGTACTTTAATTTTAATTTTATAAATTGCAGCTTAATTTAGGCAAGTATGTAACTGTCTTTCTATTTTCGGTGCAGTCAAACCCATATGAAGCCCTGCATTTATGGCATCTGTTGTTCATACTTAAAGAGAATTTTTCTTTGGTTTAGGTAATGTTAGCTGAGCTAAAAGGAAAAGATGAAGTATATGCAGTGAAAGTCTTGAAGAAAGATGTCATACTTCAAGATGATGATGTAGACTGTACAATGACAGAAAAGAGAATTCTGGCATTAGCACGGAAACATCCCTATTTAACACAACTTTACTGCTGCTTCCAGACAAAGGTAAGCTGCATGAGTCTTTTACCAGTTTCTGCCCAAGGAATAACACTGATTATTTCCAGACTGAAAGAAAACAACATAAAAAGTACAGCAATATTTTGAAAATATTCCTCGTAAGTTTTTTGGTACTTCAATTGTATTTTAGAGGAGTATTGGCTGCTGTTGAAAAGCTTAACTACTATACCTTGTAAGTACCAGGAGATGGCAGTAAATGAGTTAAAAAATTTTAAAAACCCACATGCATAAAATACACAAAAATGGTGCCTACTGAGGTTCTATTTTCTGTTTCTTTGGTACATTAATAGGGTGTATCATTTGTTGAATTAAGTCCAAATGTTTTTAGCATCCAGTGTGCAATACTTGTGTGTAGATTTGCAGAAAAGCAATGACTAGAAGATCTTCTAGCAAAATTATCAGGAGAGATGAATAGCACAGTGGGACAGCCATAGGAAAATGGCTAGTAGGATCAAGATTATAGTGGTTTGAATATAGAAACAGCAAACAATTAATAGGTTTATACAGTTCTTAAAATAGTGAAAATATGCTAGCATTTTATATGCTTTGAAGTTGGCACAAAGCAGTGGCCCAGGAAGGCGTGTATGTCTGTAGAAGGTGTTTAACATACAGAGTTTTATTATATGTGTGAACATATTCTTAAAATGTTTTAACATATTATTTTAAAATTTATAAGTAGAATTAACCATGCTTTTCAGATGAAAGAAGTGATTAAAAGATTGTAGTGGGGTGAGGTGTAAACTCTGTGAACAGAAAGGGACTTTTAGGACTGTGTGCACTCCTTGGAGTGTAAATAAATATATCAGCAGCCTGATGTGAATCATATGTCATAACATTGGTAAAGATCAGTAGAACATTAAGTTAATTATGACAGAAGATTCTTCTGCTACTCTTCTGATTTCCTGGAGATTCCTTTTCTTTCGTATTTTTGGCCTGCTGTTCTCTATTTTGTACCATGCTTTCTGCCTTCCTCCCTGCTCTCCAAAGCCATTCATCAAAGATACTCAGAAGTTCTGCTCACTGCCTTCTCTCTTCCCGGATCTCATAACAGAGAGTAACTGCAGCTTGTGGCTTTTCTTGAGCTCAGAGGAGCTCATACTGAAGTGTTTTATAGTGTTTATAGTTACAAGTTGTAGGCCAGTGTCTCTTAACAATCAAAACTACACAAAAATCCATAGTTGAAAAATTCAAGGGTTTTCTTGAGAATATCCTATGGACAATTTGCAAAGAATTCTTTCTAAAGTAACAAAAATACCGAACACCAAAACATATGAAAAAGCAAAAGCAATACATCTGCTAAAAGTACACATTTTTTATGAATGGTAACAAATGAAAATGTACCAAGTAAATTAGTCACTGAATGATTTTCTCAGGTTCAGTAGAAAAACAGGTAAAAAAACTTGCTTGAATGAACATATTCTGTGGTTTAAATAGCTTCATTGACACAAAGGCTGTAGTACAATATGTTTTAAGTGTGTTTCACAGTAGTTTATAGTTACTTACACTGCTGTTGTGTGCCATGGCATGGCGGCTGTATGTAGCAGAACTGGTCCCTGAAGTGATCATGCTGGAATTAAATTTTACATTTCAAGTAAGAGCATATTTGTCGTATACACCCTGACTTAATGTGAAGGTTGACTCAATATTCATTGTCAAAGCACTTGGAGGTTGTCTTTATGTAATGAGATTACTTACTTTGTTCCTCTTCCACAAAAATGCAGATGAAGAAGTTTGACTTTATATGCTGCAGTGTTTTCCTTCAGTAATCAGCTGAAAACACTGCAGAAAAGTTGCCTAATATGCTTTTTACAGTAAGTACATTTAAGTATTATTTATTTTTTTTCATGAAGCAGACTTTTCATTAGTGTCATTTACTGAATGACTCTATTAGTATCACAACAAGTAAGGGATAATATTTTAAATTACTTTGGAATTCAGAAACTGTACCAAATAATGCCTAACACTTATATATATTGTACACTAGTGAGTTTTTAGCCATATATATCTAATTTCTTTTAACAATTCCATCTAGATTTCTTACTTGAAAGAAATACTCTGATATTTCTCTTGTTCCTGCTTAATGCAAAAGCAAACTTTGATCGAACCAATTTGCTTTAAGCCCATAAAAAAAATGAGCCACCACCGCCCTCCTGCCCTTATCAACATCTTAGATGTCTTTAAAAAAATATATATTTTAGTACTGTACTTCAGGAATTGTTTTGAAATATTCTTCACTGATCTGGAAGTTGGGAGAGTTCCAAAGCTTGGGATAAAGTGTATAAAGCTGATACAGGAAGTTTTATCTGCAATAGTTTAAGGAATGAGCTCTGCAAAGTCCCACACATCAGAAAGAAGGTAAAATCTACAGGCAGGGCCGCAGTTGATCTGGATTTTTATGTGGAAGGTACTTAACTCTTTTAGTGCAGCATATCTTGTAAAACGGTGCCACTCTTACACTATGGCAACATTTTCCTTCTTGTTTTGCCAGGGTATGGTCATTGTGTCTGTCAGCATGTTCAGAGGTCTGAGTGGTGTTTTGCCCGTGGTCTCTCAGTAGGAATATGAACGATGAATGCTGTGTTCTGTGTTTGGCAAAACCTGCCCAAGGCCGAGCATGCAGGGTACAGCATCTTTGTAGCAACTGACCTTTGCTGATCATCATCTTTGCTTTATTCAGGGCTTCATTGCATTACTTTCTCAATAAAGGTATTGAGAAAACGCACGGCATTTTCAAGGTTTAATTTTGTTTCCACTCTTCCTCATATCTTCTGTTTTTTCTGTGTGTTGGTCCCTTGGTTTTTCAGTAAGGAGTATCTTACCTGACAGTAATCTGATGCTGCCCAGTTCCCCTCTTCAGTGTCCTCTTCCCTCCAAGCTCATATCCTGCCTCGGGGATCAACTATGGAACAGTATCAACATGAGGTTTTATTGACAATGCTTCAGTCAGGTGGCTGACAAAGGGGATTTAAATGTTTCTAAACATGTTTTCTCTAAAGACATCCTTGTCTTCACTCAGTTGGATGTTTCTGAACTATGAGAATTAAAGTGCTTTTTATGGAAAGCTCTAGAAAATATAAGTAGCTTCATTTAATTCCTCCTACACCCCTGTCAATTTCTTCATAAGTACTTAAAATTTTCTAGACCTCTACCCTATAAGATGCATACACATGTATGTGCACACCCTATAATTTATAATGAATTATCCTAATAAATACTTAAGAAAGAAAATTTGGTTTAAATTATTTAAGGCAATGAAAGCTTTATTATGATAATTCAGTATAAAATTAGAAGACTAGAGAGCTGTTGTTTTTAACATCTGCCATTTTATTTTTTTAATCCAACTTTGTAAAATCAGATAAATTTGAAAATAGTGCTCACCTTCTCTTTTCCTAACACTATGTTCCACAGATGTAGTAGAGTATTTTTAGTGCACAAAAATGTTCCTGTTGAATGATAAGAGCTCCAGAACTTGTGAAGGACACTTAGTCAACATTATAGCTATTTCTTTTAGAGGAAACAAGTAGTTAAATGAAGGGTAGACAAAGTCAGTTATTAGAGGTGAATAATCAGACTTATGCCACCCATAAAAACATTAACCTTCATTCTCCAAGTCATGTTTTCTAATTTAATTTAGGAAGAATCCTTGTAGTATGTGACCAAAACTGATATTGGTATGGTTAAATAAAGTCTTATTTCTTTCATGTATATTTCATGTATGAAAAAATATTAAATGTCTTCTGCCATTGTATCTCAGAGGAGTGTCATTTATGATATACAGTGCAAATTAACCTGACTTGCCACTGTTACATTCATCTGGGACTAATCAGAGCTTATAATCCATTTTATCTGGTATTCTTGTACCTTTGTTGCTAAGCAGCTAAAGCCATTATACAGATATTGCTATATGGGTGTAATCAGTTTAACACAAGTTTGCATTGCCTTTTATTACTGATTAGTGTCAAATTAGAACTTTTTAGGGCCCAATACTGTTCATTATTATCCCTGCTTCAGTGGATTTGTACGTGTGAGACAAAAGACTAAATTAACCCCTGTATTTTGCTATTTTAATGCTAAAATATTTTAATACTATTTAAATACAAAATTATTTACAAAGGTTTCTTAAAGATCAGTGTTAACTATGGTAAAAGATGTAGAATAAAATTGTAGGTTAGCATAGAGTGATGTTATTTATACTGTTTCTATTATGGTACCTATTTATATACATTTATACACATTTATATGCAAACCTAATTTAAATATTTTATTTACCTGTGTTGGTATATATGCACGTACACAGAATATGTACAATAGTAGGAATTTTTAAATTCCAAATCCTGGTTTATACAGGCATTTTATGCCATAAGAAATTAAAATATACCGATTTTGACTTTTTCTTCAGAGTATTTCCTGAAGTACTTGAAGTTAGAATACTATCTGGTGTTTCGTATATCATACAGTTAAGAAGTTATGTAAATATACAAAATTTTGGCAGAACAGGGTTTTTCAGAAATTCATAGAGTGTTTATGTTAAATTTTGCTTTCCTGGTGACTGCTACCCAGTGTGGATGCACTGGATTGTCTGGAAGTAGACACTATGGTCAAGAATAGTTGGAACAACGATGCTGATGATCAAATACTGTAATCATTGTCTCTCTCACACACACGAGCCCCTGTTTCCAGCATGATGATGACCCCATTTTGGGCAACTTGCTATTATGCAGCTCAGTTATTGCTAGCTGCTCTTGAAGGATTATTAAAGCCTGGTTAGCTCACTGAAGATTCATTGTTCACATGAGTCCCTTTAGTGTTAAACTCCAAGGCAGGCTAGCAGTGCAGCCAGGCTCATCAAGGGCCCGCAGGAGAAATTACTCCTCCAGCATCAATCAGAAGAGTCTAAATGCTCCTCTTTCAGACAGGAAGGACTTTTCTTTTGTGATGTGGCACCCAAACTGAACAGGACTCTTTCACACCATCTCAAAGCTAGGGCT